GTGGTTCTAAGCCTGGTTAGGCTGCAATTCTTAGAGTATTTTTGACTGTCACCGTTTTATCGCCTTGGTTGTTTATTTGTTTCATGGAAGGGCATAGATGCGTGATTGTGACTGTCTGGGCAGACTAGTCTTTTACAACTTATAATTAGAGTGTATTTCGAATTGACGAAATCGCACTTCCCTTTTTCACCGTTCAGTGATTTCCAAACACACAACCTATCTGTTTTCGTACTTGATAACAGATAAACCCAAAGTATTCAAACGTCAGGGCAATTAGCCGATGGCTAGGAATGTTTGCTGATTGGTTTTGTTGACCTAACTTCTCTTAAAGCCTCACCTAACTTGCGGCTAATTTGGAGGTTATTATCCTTTACCTAACTGGTGTTTCTTATGCAGCAGTCCATCCTTTACGTCCAACGTAAATGGCCAAAACTCTACTGCACCGGAGACGGCTGCTTCATGATCAGAAAACGCGTTGTGGTGCCCAACTCAGTAAGCTTTCAGGTTCTTCGTCAATTTCATACTAGTCATTTCGGCATAGGTCGCATGAAGTCTTTCGTCCGCAGCTACGCTTACTAGCCAAATATAGATCAGCAAATCGACGACAGAGCAAAGAGTTGTCGCCAATGCCAGCAGACCGCCAAGAACCCATCGCAATCAGCTCCGATGGAGAAAAGGATCTGCGACACCAAATCGCCAGACCAGCGTGCCACAGGATGTCCTTTTCGACACTTTCCAGGTGCCGACACCGGTAACAACGCTAGTGAAAACGAACAGAGATCAACTAGCAGCAGACAGTTCTTCACCCCCAAGGTAAAGTAGTCGAAAACGACGAAAACCACCGCTACTCTAAGTCGGCCCAAAGAAGAAGCCCTGCTAGTTTTTCATGGGGAGAGGTGTTGGAAATCCACGATACCCTAAGATTGCTCATCGTTGGTTTTTGGCACTTTTTACACTAATCCACTAATATGTGTTTTATTACGCTTCTTATCAGGTCAAGGTCAACCTTGACTTGAATTAGTTTCACGTTTGACAACTCTCTCCCCACGTGGCTGACGTGTTTAAAGTTCTCTACACGAGCTCTGGTTTTGTTCGTGTATTGGCGTGGGAAGTTCGATGCTAGCATCAACAACGAATCTGGCACCGTTATTTGAGCGGTTTTCATCTTGTCACGCTCAATCGTAACATTCATTTATTAAACCTGTTTGATTTTGACTACATAAAAAAAAACAAAACCTTTTAGCTACGCCTAAATTGGTTTAATTTTATGCGTGAATGCACCGTATGTTCATTGTAACAATGTTATTCTAACCTGGCCTTCCTTGTTTAAGTGCAAGCACACTTAAATGCCATTTTGGGCTACTTGTGATGCGTTCTTATTCTTAACTATCAGAGTAACAAAGACTTGGTGTATCAAAATTTGACTCTAATCGAACGAATACGTTGTGAGGCATTAGGCGGTGGACTCGAAGACTTTTGCATCGTGGTAGTGGGGC